AAGACCAGTCACGGATTCATCTGGTGGTATGCAGTGTGATGTTTGCTCTCGTTGGTATCACAAAAGTTGTACCGGCCTCCGAGCGAATCAGTACAATATGCTATCATCCAGTGAAAACCTTCTGTTTAGATGTGCTGATTGTTGCGCTCAGAAAGCGAAGCTCCCGGCTTTCACCTGTGCTGAATTCAAAGCACTAGCGTCCAGATTCACAGTTGTTGAGAAGGCATTAGCCGAGCTTGCCTCTCTTGCCTCGCTCAACTCTAAAGTGGATTTGATTATGAAATCCCTGAATATTGCGAATGTGGACGCTGTAACGGACTGTCCTTCTGCTGTCAGTCCAACCGTTGACGAGGCGTTCATCCTACCGGACGCTCCAGTTCACGTGGACATAACTGACACAGATGCCTCGGACGGCATTGTTGACCCGCCCCAAATGGAAGGCGAGTCACGGGCTTCTGGGCCATTGAAGAATAAGCGTAAGAGGGCAAGGAAAGCGCGCAAACCGTCCGCCCCCAAACCGGAAGGTGACAAAATGCTCAAGAAACAAGCGCCTGATTTGGAAACACCACCTGGTGTTGCACTTCCCTCAGTGAGACAAGAGGTGCCGTCGCCTTCGGTCCCACCGATTCCTGTCAAACAACCATGTGGCGTGGATGGTAGAGCATGTGGTGTAAATACACCTCGTCGAGGCGATTCTTACACAGATAGCAGTGTGATTTTCAGAAACGTCACTGAATCCACTGCCGCTCTTCCCACCGAGCGCATGCTTGATGATCTTGGTTGGCTTAAAGTTTGCTTGACCAGGCTTTTACCACCAGGTTTCCCTGGCGTTACTGTCAGGAAGCTCATCAGATTGGGGAACGTTCCGGTTGGTCAACCAAATCCTCGACCCCGTCTGCTTAGGGTGGTCCTCTCCACCCCAGAAGAGCGCAGGGCCTTACTGAGATTTGCCTTCAAGCTCAAAGGTACCAACGTTAGTGTGCAACCAGACCTTCCGTTAGCGGATAGGTTAAAGTTAAAGGAAGCCATCAGAGACCTAAAAGCCCGGCGTGCAGCTGGCGAGCAAGGTCTCCGATTGGTGGGTTTTCAGGTGGTCAGCCGGCGGTCCTTTTCCGCCCTGCCAGAACCTATACTACTTGCGCACGACCCAGGGCTGGTCGTGCCGAAGCCCTCCAAGTAGTACTTAGTAACGTGCGTAGCCTGAGGAACAAGATGTGCGAGGTGGGTCTGCTCGTAGACAAATCTCGTCCAGATATACTTGCTTTCACTGAAACGTGGCTGTCTGAGGAAATCACAGATGGCGAAGTATATCTGCCTGGCTACGCACTGTTCCGCGCTGACCGCTCCACTGGCCGTCAAGGGGGTGGTGTAGCTCTTTATGTGAGTTATCACATCGACGTATTGAGGACCAGCGTTTTTCAGTCTCTCGACAAATCTGTTGAGGCTCTCGCAGTCTTGATTTGCGCTTCCTCGGTTCAGGTTACGGTTGTGTTAGTGTATAGAAGCCCTATGAGCACCTCCAATGGAATCATTGAGTTTATACGCACTCACTCTGCGAACAAGTGTCTGGTGCTGGGAGACTTCAACCTCCCAGAGGTTTGTTGGGATGATCTATCTTGCAGTTCGGCTCTGGAATCGTTCGGTACAGAACTGCTGGACTTGACGCTGCAGGTACCACTACACCAGTTCGTGGACCTCCCCACTAGGTACATGAGCAATCAGCAGCCGTCCATTTTAGATCTTGTTTTTGCTAAGTCACTTGACTTTGTAAATGACATTAAATACGACTCGCCTCTTGGCGCTAGCGATCACGTTTGCTTGTCTTTCCAGTGTGCTCTTATCAGGTCTTGCCAAGCTACTACCAGTTGGTATCCGAACATTTGGGCCGCGGACTTCCAAGCGATGCGGGATAAAGCTAGGTCATCGCCTTGTGTGATATCTGAGACCGATACTGTTCACATAGCCTGGAAAAAACTTAAGGCTCACCTTGTAGACATTTCTGCACCTCACATCCCACTGGTAAAAAGAAGGGAATCGAGAGCGCAGCCTCCGTAGATAGATTCCGCGGGGAAGGACCTGCTAAAGAAGTGGTCTAGATGCTGGCGAGCATACCGAACAGCTCCGTCGAACATCAGGTTTGGCAAGTATCGGTTGGTTCGAAATGAGTGCAAGCTGCATCTTAGGTTGGCCCAGCTTCAGTATGAAAAGGGCTAAGCTAATACTGCCTCGAAAAATCCCAAGAAATTCTTCGCTTACGTTAAACGACGCTGTGGTGCAAACTCGCCCATTCCTCCATTGTTTCGAGAAGTTGGAACCATGCCTATAGCGACTACCACAAGGCATGCGTGCTTGGTAAGCAGTACTCAAGCGTATTTTTGTTCGTCGCAATCAGCCGACAATTCAGATATGTCGACCAGCTATCCGGAAAAGCACCAGACGGCCGTTTCGCTCTATTGGGGCTCATCAGTGGTGCGCATCCTTCGGTCCTCTGCGGAGGATCGAACCCATGACTGCAAGTGGCTCTTGCCAACTAGCCCGCAGCTTAGGTAACTGCGCCATGGAGGACGGTATCTGACTATTATGAATTGTTAGCTAAATGCGATATAGCCCGACGCATCCTCTACTGCCATGCAGATGACAGCGGTCGGCCTTCCGGCGTCAGGACTTCCCGGTTACGGCAGATATGAATCGACATAGCATTGTGATTGCGACGAACAAAAATACTCACCAAAATCCTTCCATTCATAAGTAGTACTCAAGCGTCTTTGTCCGCGAAACAAATACGCCATGCAAAGAGTTAGCTTCAAGAGTCTCTGAGGACTGTTGTCTGGATGAAATTCCTGTAACTGAGTCCCAAGTTCTCCGGTTGCTAAGAGAGGTAAACCCAACTAAGGCTTCCGGACCAGATTCCGTTCATCCAAAATTGTTGCATGAATTGGCAGTGGAACTCAGTGGACCTCTGACTTGTGTGTTTCATAAGTCACTCAACAGCTGTACCTTGCCCACCGAATGGAAGGAGGCTGTTGTCTGCCCGATTTTCAAGTGCGGTGACAGACTTACCGGCTAATTACAGGCCTGTCAGCTTGACTAGCGTGGTTGTTAACTTACTTGAAAAATTAGTACGAGATACAGTGGAGAACCATTTAAATAGGTTTAACCTGTTTTGCGTCGAGCAACATGGTTTTCGCAAAGGATCTTCGTGTCAGACGAACTTGCTGGTAGCTCGTGAGAGCTGGGCAGAAGCCGTAGACAGTGGACATGCGGTGGATGTGGTGTTCAGTGACTTCGTCAAGGCCTTTGACACTGCCCCCCACTCGCGACTCTCACTGAAGTTGAGGTCGTATGGAATAGCTGGTCGCGCTCTCCAGTGGGTGTCAGCTTTTCTGGATGGATGGGAACAGTGTATTCGTGTGGGAAGCAGTCTTTCGTTTCGACAAGCTGTACTTAGCAGCGTTCTGCAAGGCTCTATCCTATGAATGAATGAAATGTGTCAGCTTATACGCCGTAACGGCGCTTCGCTGCCGCGCGACCACCACCAGTCGCGCGCGGGCTGAGTATACCGCGAGGACGCCCACCCCTACACGGATAAGGCTCTATCCTAGGTCCGCTGCTTTTCTCAGTCTGCGTGAATGACTTGCCGGAGGAGCTTGAGATACCATCGCTCCTATTTGCTGATGACCTAAAGCTCTGGAATATTGTTGATATCCCTGGAGGTCCTGTGGCTCTTCAACGAGCTCTGGATAGACTCTGGGAATGGTCTGTCTTGTGGTTGTTGCCCATAAACCGGGCAAAGTGTTCAGTGCTGCGTATCGGAGCGGCTGATTCCTCCACAAGTTATGTGCTCGATGGGTGGGAACTTCCTCACGTGACTCATCAGGTTGATCTAGGTGTCGTCCACTGTTCCACACTACACTCTGGAGACAACTGGAAGAAGGCGGTTAGTAAAGGGTTCCGTGTGTTGTGGTTTATCCGTCGTTCTTTTGGGACCCTAACCGCTGATGTGTTTGTGAAGCTTTTCTCAGCATTTGTACGACCCTACCTAGAATATTGTGTCCAGGCCTGTCCACCATGCCTTGTCCGGGACAAAATGGCACTAGAAAAGGTGTTGCGTGTCGGTACTAGGTTGGTCAAGGGATTACGAGGGCAAACGTACTCCGAACGCCTACTTAGTTTGGGGATGCAGTCAATGCACTATCGAAGGATTAGAGGGGACCTAATCCTAACCTACCGTATTTTGACTGGGAAGCTTGGCCCTGATTTGTCCATGCTATTTAGTCCTGCTCGATTATCTGGTCTTCGCGGGCATTGTATGAAGCTGGACAAACCGCGGTCCAACCGAGTTAGAGCGGAGACACGGTTACCACGTCGAGTCATCGAGCGCTGGAACCTGCTTCCAGAACACGTTGTCAAGGGATCTACGGTTAAGGGGTTTGAGCGTCAACTAGACGCTCTTGGGTGTCAACACGAAACCTTTCCTTTTTCCTGACTAATTCCCACCTTCATACTTCGATTCTATTTTCTTTACTTTTCCTCGCCATTGGTATCATTCTCTTCTTTTAACTGATTTCCCCTACTCTTTTACCTTCGCTTTTTCTTCCTCTCTTATTTCACGTAACTGACATAGCTGGGACAGCTAATGTAAGGAACGTGGGCATTAAATTGTTGGACCAGGGTGTTTTTTCGGGTGTTTCCTTTTAGACCCATCAAGAAGTCGGAGCACCCCTATCAACTCCTGGATCGACGACCCGCTCGAGAAGGAACACTTACGGGATTCATCCAATCGTTGCAGTCCCACTTGAACTTGAACACATCTAGCTAACGTGTATAATGATAATGAATGATGATGACGGGTGACAGATGTGAAGTGATAGGACAAAACCAAGGGGAATGCAAAGTCGAACACTCAAATCTAAGGAGAAAGTCTGGATTCCAGAAGCGGGCGCAACAGTGACGTGCGGTGCATGAGCAAACAAATGGTGAAACAGCGTATAACATATTACCCGGCTAGCAAGTCGGCGTCTAAGTTTCTCCTCGTAGCGAAGGAGGTCTTCATTAGCATCGTCACTCAACAGAAGATCTGCATTCCAATCATCCTTGGCTCTGTATCGCTCAAGTCTCTCTTTCGCGCGACGAATCTCGATCAGTGGATCGTAATCTGGATGAAACCGCCGCTTACTTCCAGCCTAAAAAGTGACATTAAATTAGTATTCTCACCGAAGACAATATGCTTCTGGATCTATCATGACTTGAACTATCATCTTGACGCGAACGATTCCGTGTGCGATACCTGGGAGGCGTTTCGGAAGTACGGACGGGAGTTGACATTCTGAAACTCTGCGACGTATGCTGTCGCCCGGAATTTCTGGATCGCCCTGATATTTCGTATGTGGAACTGAGAGAAGGTGGTCTATGGACATCTGCTATAGAACTAGCTAAACTATCTACAGAGGAAGACGCAAGTACGCTGAAAGTTAGGGTGCTGAGTGCCGGACAAGCCTTACTTGACTTCGTGAAGCGGGCGACCAGTAGCGCGACGCTTGTGCATCGCGCCCACAAACAAAGCATTCTTTACAGGTGTGGACTTCCTAGTCCGTCTACCATCGGCCTGCATCAGTCAGCTGGATGGACTGCGGCACCGAACTGCGTATCGGGTTGAGAGAAGACTGCGACTAGCACCCATATCCAAAGTCACCCGGGTAGAAAATACTGCGGCTACTGAAGCAACGTGACATGAATGTGTCTGTGAATAACCGTCAGGCAAACTACATGCTGCTGGCAAAGATAATCATTTGTACTGTTCCCTGTAAGTAGACAACTAACCACGTTAAATAACAAGGTCAAGTTCAGTTTGGACCGGAACAAGTTCAAGTTCAAGTGGGACTGGAACGATAGGATGAATCCCGTAAGTGTTCCTTCTTGAGCGGGTCGTCGATCCAGGAGTTGATAGGGGTGCTCCGACTTCTTGATGGGTCTAAAAGGAAAACACCCGAAAAACACCCTGGTCCACCAATTTAATGCCCACGTTCCTAACATTGGCTGTCCCAGCTGTGTCAGTTACGTGAAGTAAGTAAGAGAGGAAGGAGAATCGAAGGTAAGGGAGTACGGGAAATCAGTTAGGATAATCCCGTGAATGTTCCTTCTTTTGCGTATCGTTGGATCGGGAATTGACAGGTCTGCTTGAGATGTTGAAAAGCCTAAAACAAAGACCGCATCACACCATGTCCAACCAATTACTGCCCACATTTTCCTGCCCAGCAGTCCCTGCCAGACCGGTTTATGTGAAGTAAAAGAGTGAAGGGTAAGCTAAGAAAAGAAGAGGAGGAATGTCAGCTAAATAATGATAATACCAAGTTGAGAAGAAAATTAAAAAAGAACGAATGGAAAGTTGAAGATACAAGTCAGTTAGGAGAAGGGGAAGGTTTGGTACTGCCACCCAAGAGCATCTAACTGACGCTCGAAACCCTCTACCGTAGACTCCCTAACCACGTGCGCTGGAAGCGAGTTCCAACGTTCAATAACTCGACGCGACAAGCGAGTTTCCGTCCTTACCCGGTCAGAACGCTGTTTGTGCAGCTTCAACGGGTGACCTCGGAGACTAGGCAGCTTGGCGGGACTAAATAGCCAGGACAAGTCTGGACCGATCTTACCCGTTAAGATACGGTTAGTGAGAATCAAGTCTCCTCTAATTCTGCGGTAGTGCATTGAGTACATACCCAAGCCAAGCAAACGTACGGGATACGTTTGCCCCCGTAATCCTTGCACTATCCTTGTACCCACTCGTAAAACCCTCTCCAGTTCCATTTTGTCCCTTACAAGACAAGGTGGACAAGCCTGGATACAGTACTCTAAGTGAGGTCACACGAAAGCTGAGAACAGCTTCACAAAGATATTGGCCGTTAGGACACCGAAGGAGCGGCGAATAAACCACATCATACGGAACCCTCTACAAGCAGCCTTCCTCCAATTTTCCCCAGAGTGAAGCAATGAGGTATGGGTGATACCTAGATCAACCTGCTGAATAACAACAAGGAGTTCACTTCCACCAACTACATAGCGCGTGGGGGGACTAGCACCTCCAATGCGGAGGACAGAACATTTCGCCTGATTTATGGGCATCAACCATAAGGTTGACCTAATCCCAGAGCCTATCCAAAGCACTCTGAAGTGCCTCAGAGCCACCAGGGATATCCACAATATTCCAGAGCTTGAGGTCATCAGCAAACAATAGCGACGGTACTCCAAGCTCCTGGGGTAGGTCATTGACATAAATTGCGAAAAGCAACGGCCCTAGAACCGAGCCCTGCGGAACGCCACTAAGAACAGCTTGTCTAAGCGAAAGGCTACGCCCCAAGCGTACACACTGTTCTCTGCCCTCTAGGAAAGCAGAAACCCATTTAAGGGCGGCTCCAGATATCCCATACGATCTCAACTTCAATGAGAGTCGTTGATGTGGGACAGTATCAAAGGCTTTCGAGAAGTCAACGAAAAGCACGTCGATGGCGTGACCGTTGTCTACTGCCTCAGCCCAGCTTTCACGAGCTACAAGCAAATTTGTCAGACATGAAAATCCCTTACGGAATCCGTGCTGGGCCGCACTGAGAAGGTTAAACTTAATCAGGTGATTCTCCACCGAATCCCTGACCAATTTTTCAAACAACTTAACTACTACACTTGTTAAGCTGACAGGCCGGTAGTTCGCGGGCAGAATTCTGTCCCCGCCCTTAAAAATCGGACAGATGATTGCCTTCTTCCATTCAGAAGGTAAGGCACAGCTGTCGAGTGATATTGTAAACATGCATGTCAGAGGGCCACTTAGCTCAGCGGCCAATTCATGCATCAGCTTCGGATGAATTGAATCAGGGCCAGAAGCTTTGAAAGGATTTAGCCCTTGCAATAGCCCGAAGACTTGTGTCTCCGTTATGCTTATTTCAGTTAGGCAAGAATCCTCCGGAACTTTTGTGACCAGCTCAACTTGAGGTAGAGAGGCCTCATGAGAAAAGATACCAGTATATTGCTCGCTAAGTATACAGGCATTATCATAGTCGGTATGCCCATGGGTCCCGTCCGCTCGTAGTAAAGCCGGTATAGACGAGTTTGTACCGCTACGTCTCTTTACGTAAGCAAAGAACTTCTTTGGGTTTGTTACGGCTGCGTTAGCCAAATCCTCCTCGTACTGAAGACGAAGAGTTCTAAGATGATGCTTACATTTATTTTTAACCGCTCGATAGCTTTCGTAGGTGCTGGTTGATGAAGCCGCTTGGTAAGTTCGCCAGCACTTAGAGCGCTTCCTGAGCAGGTATTTACCTGTATGATCTATCCAAGGAGGCTGCGCCCGTGTCACCCTTCTCTTAGTGAGTGGGAGGTGGGGAGCAGAGATCTCGATGTGGTATGCCTTAAATTTCTCCCAGGTTGTCTCAACGGTGTCAGCCACGGTGGTCGCACAACGCAAAACTGAAGCTTTGGCTCGCATTGCGTTAAAGTCTGCCCGTCAAATATTTGGACATGCCTCAGCGGTAGCTTGATGACACTTAGTTAGAGCACATCGAAAGGATATGCAGACATGGGCACTGGCTCTTAGAGGACAGTCGTAGGTAATATCACTTACGAAATCGGGTGACTTCGCAAAAATGAGATCCAAGGTAGACGGAATTTGGTTGCGCATATATCTAGTCGAGAGGTCCACGAACTGATGCAAAGGCAGTTGCAATGTTAGCTCAAGGAGATCCGAACCGAAAGTGCCCACCGCCGAACCGCAAGATAGATCAGCCCAGCAGACCTCAAGGAGGTTGAAGTCACCCAGTATTAGACACCTGTTGGCAGCCTGAGTACGAATAAATTCAATAACCTCCCTGGAGATGCTATCAGGACTTCGCTATATCACTACAACTGTAAACTGTGCAGAGGAAGTGCACAGAATAGCCGAGAGGGCTTCAACAGTTTGATCCGGCGACTGGAACACACAAGTCTTCAACACATCGAGTTTACAACCCACATAAAGAGCGACGCCCCCACCTTGGCGGCCAACGGAGTGATCGCATCTAAGCAGTGCGTAGCCAGGAAAAGATAATTCACCGTCTGTGATATCCGGGGACAGCCACGTTTCGGTGATGGCAAGTATTTTGGGACGAGATTTGTCTACAGGTAGACCCACCTCGTGTACCTTGTTCCTTAGGCTACGCACATTACTAAGCACTACCCGAAAGAACTCGGCACGACCAGCCCTGGTTCGTACGCTACCAGGAGAGGTTCTGGTAGGGCAGAATTTAACTTCCGGCTGATCGCCTGAAAACCCACAAGACGAAGGCCTTGCTCACCAGCAGCCCGCCTGCTTTTGAGGCTTTTGATGGCTTTCCTTTAACTTCAGTCGATCTGTCAGTGGAAGGTCCGGCTGAACGCTGACATTACTACCCTTGAGTTTGCATGTAAAGCGTCAATGCGCTTTGCATTCCTCCGGGGTTGACAGGACTACACGAAGTAGTCGGGGTCGCGGATTTGGCGTGTCAACAGGGACGTTCCCCAATCTGGTTAATTTCCTGATAGTGACACCGGGGTAACCAGGTGGAAGCATCTTGTTGACGCAGAGTTTGAACCACTGGAGGTCAGCCAGCATGCGCTCTTTTGGAAGAGCTGCCGCGGATTCAGCAACGTTACGGAAGATAACGCTACTATCAGTAAAAGAATCAACTCGACGAGGCGTATTCAATCCACGCGTCTTCGACGCGACCTCAGTTTTGACCGGTTTGGCAGATGACACGGCGCGTTTCTTCGCCAAGTGATCTGGAGCAATTGAGGTTGAAGCCTTATCCTCTGCCTCCAACTCCCTCACCGGTCTAGTCTTTTCAGACTTTGCGGGTGTGTCCGAAGCCGACACCCCGCGTTGCTTTGCCAATGGAATTGGGGTGATTGGAGTTGGAGTTTTATGTTCCACCTCCAATACCTTAACGCTTTTAGTACCTTCAGGCTTTGAGGCAGCCTTACGGACTTTCTTAGCCCTCTTCCTCTTGCTTTTATTGGGCCCAAGGGCAATAAGTTCGGTCACGCTTTGGAAGGCTTCCAGTACGACATCAGAGGCCCCGTTAGAGGCATTCTGGACCGCTGGGACGCACGACACGGTAGACATCACCTCAGTCGGATTTCCATCGACAGCAATTGAGGTTAGTTGCATGTCTTCCTTCAATGAGCCGACATCAATAAAGACTCCCATATTCCTCATCAGTAACTCCACTTTCCGATCAAGAGATATGAGAAAGGACCACAACCGCTGGTTACTCAGCCCGACGTTGCTCGCTGTCTCCTCAGTGACCTCAAGACGCGTAGGTCGCCGGCGACGGCATAGAAGACAATTGAACAGCATGCTATCGCTAGTCGAAAGCATTGCGTACTGATCAGGGCTCAAATCGGTGCAGGTCTCATGGTACCAGCAGTTGCATACATAGCACTGCATGCCACCAGACTCGTCCGTCACGAGCTTTGAGCAGCTCCCGCTGCCACATACAGCATTAGATTCGCTGATCAATGCAGCCGAAGATACATTAGCGTTGGTATTCAGTGAATCAAGCTTATTAAATTTTAATTGATGCATTGTTCATTGGTGTAGGGAGCAGCTGGTGCGACCATTGTCATCTCCGTTACTTTCCGATCATTGCGCGGTAAATCCTTAGGTTTACGGGTCGACGCGCCTCTGGGGA